TTTTTTCATATCAAGGCAGAGGTCATTCGGCTCTGATACCAAATGTAAGAAATTTTGATGAAGCCAACTTGTGTTTCTAAATCATTGTAATAGAAACACAATAAAACTAATGCGGAAACGAAATAGCATACCTCCAGCCATTGTCGCCAAGAATTTCTGCAGAGGTTTCTTCTTGAACTTTGGTTCTTCTCGGCTCAGAACTCTCGCTTTAGATGGTGTAGGAAAGCCTTTCGCTTCAAAGAGATGATTGAGCCAAGGGACCAAAATCCTCATGTATATATAGTTGTTCTCCCATCAAGAACATTTATCATCACCAACTCATAACGTTCAAGAATTAATTCAAATTTGTAACATTTTGACCATAATGAAGAACTTAATGATATTAAATATTTAATTTAATAATAACGATTTCATGCATAAAGAATAAGAAACTAAAATCATTTAAATCATAATAAATGAAGAAATTCATGATAATGAATTATGAATCTTAATAAGAACGGTTATGTTATTATTAAATAAGATATTTAATAATAACCGTTACATCTCGTTGGTGTTATGTGGCACCTGCACTTGCAGAACTCTCTCTCTCTCTCTACTAGCTTGTTCTTCTTTAAAAAGATTAAAGATGACTTGTGTTCTACCATTGGGTTACATGACTCTTCCCAACCAAGAGGGGCTCGAGTTACGTTAAAGTGTAATTGCATCATCCTTAATTTATCTACAAGAGGCAATTTATTTCAGTGCATGATGTCACATCATATAAATGCATGATGCCCAAATGTGTGGATGACAGTGTCTTTGAAAAGTCGGGCCAACCTTTATCGACTTCATTCGAAGAAGAAGAAAGCCCAGTCAAAATGTACCGTCCAACTTCTTCTTGTGCTCCAAGCAAGGACTGAAATGATAATAGCTGAGCTGACTCACCTGTTTCAATTATTTTGTCTCGTAAATGTTTTTTCTGTCTTTTATTTGGAAGAAAAAACGTGTAGCGTCGTATATAAGAACAGATCCTCGTCGTTGATCACTCGATCGACGGCGCAGAAACCGGCCTCGAGGAATTGCTATGACGCATGCGATCACCGCATCTTCAATAGAGTTATATTTTGTGCCACTCTCTCGTTAGGTACCCAGAAAGCAACCCCTCGTCTCGTTAGAGGAACGAGTCGCACCCACTAGGACCCACCAATCACGAGAAAAAAACAGTGCTGGTAGCGGTCACCTGAAGGTGCTGACCACATTGCCATCTTCTATTTAGAGAGTGAGAGAGCGGAGATAGAGAGACGGACGGAGAGACAAAAAGAGAGCGATGAAGCCGGTGGTGCTGCTGGACTTCTGGGCGAGCCCGTTCGGGCAGCGGTGCCGGGTCGCGCTGGCGGAGAAGGGGGTGGAGTACGAGAACAGGGAGGAGAACATCATGGGGGACAAGAGCCCGCTGCTGCTCGAGTCCAACCCCGTGTACAAGAAGATCCCCGTCCTCATCCACGACGGCAAGCCCGTGTGCGAGTCCCTCATCATCGTCCAGTACATCGACGAGGTGTGGCCCGATCGCGCGCCGCTGCTTCCCGCCGACCCCTACGCCCGCGCCCAGGCCCGCTTCTGGGCCGACTTCGTCGACAAGAAGGTGCGTCCTCCTTACGCCGATGCCTCTCATGAGTTCGACTCTTCTCCTCTTCGGACTACCACGGTGTTTGATAGAATCGATTTCCCGCTATACTTGTTTATGGATAATTTTGTCCAAGAAAAGCACGTTAAATTTTTGTGCGTTTGATAGAATCCGCGGAATCTTTTTTTTTTTTTTTTATCGATAATCAAATTCTAGACTCTTTTGCTCACTGTTTGATCTGCTCGTCGTGTAAGAATGATTGTGCAGAACCTGTTTGTTCTCAGCACCCTTTAACGTTATTCTTCATGTATCAGTTCAATGAATGCGCGGCAAAGCTGTGGCAGCTCAAGGGCGACGCCCAGGCGGCGGCCAAGGAGGAGTTCATTGAGATCCTGAAGCTGCTGGAGGGCGAGCTGGGGGACAAGAAGTACTTCAGCGGTGACGCCTTCGGCTTCGTCGACGTCGCGCTCGTCCCCTACGTGTGCCGGTTCTACACCTACGAGACCTGCGCCGGCTTCAGCATCGAGGAGGCGGCGCCCAAGGTGGTGTCATGGGGCAAAAGATGCATGGAGCGGGAGAGCGTGGCCAACGCACTGTCCGACCCCCACAAGATCTACGAGGCCGTGAACGTCTACAGAAAGAGAATTGGAATCGAGTAGTCTACATTAGCAGTAGTGACCGTGTTGCATGGTGTTTGCATGCTCTGCGTCTCATGGCGTTGTATTTGCTCTCTCTGTTGTCTTCTTGAATAATCTACCTTTCTTGGTGGTGTTATGTGGCAGATGCAGCATATCTCGTTAGAAACCAGGCACAATTCTCTCTCTCTCGCTCTTAACATAGATACGCCAACATGTGCTTCGATGAAAGATTAATTATTGATTATTTCTGTATTTGAGTACTAGTACTTATCAAATTTACATTGTGATACTCATAATTTTAAAAATAAAATAAATAATCTAATTTATTCTAACATTATCATATGTATCGAAGAAAAACATAACATATGTCATATGTTGGATAGATATAAAAATAATTATTTTTTCTGTTTCCAATAATTTTATCAGTAAAACGATAATTTTTAACATTCCACGTGTTTAAAAATAAAATGAATATTAAAATTATTTTTTTATCTATTATTTTTGTATGGATCTAATACGTCGTGTCACATATTATATTTTTTTATCGAAACAACTAATGACATTAGGATAAATAAAATTATTTATTTTACTTTCAAAATATATAAAATAATATGTAATCAACCCGATTAAATATCACTTTAATTCTACCGGTAGTTTAACTCTTCCCATCCAAGAGGAGCTTGAGTTACGTGTAAGGAAGAGGAAGTGGACTTCCATTATCCTTAACTCATCTACGATGGCAATTTAGTTTAGTGCATGTTCGAGCCGGCACCAGAAAATTTACCAAAGAGTAATTTGGCAACCCAATAAAGATAAAAAAATAAAAAAATAAAAGAGACAAGGACACTATATTTATTATATTTACGTGGTTTGGTCAATTGACCTACGTTCACGGATGGATGAGGAACAAAACTCTACTATAAAAGGGATAATTACAAATGCCTTAGGAAAATGTTCCTAGGCCATAAAACACTTGAAACTACTAAACAAGAAAAGCCCAAACTATTTTAACTAAGTGTGGACTTAATAGAAATTAAACCAAAAATAAACAATTAGGTTTTTCTTATGGTGCATCTGGCTTCAAAGCCCAAGCCCTTATTTATAGTTGCAATATGAGATAATAAGCTTGATTTTCCCGATGTGGGACTTACCAAACTAACAAACCTCCACCTTGGCATGTCCCAACATTGACAATTAACAAAACTTGCTCCACCTTCTTCACAAAAGCTCCAACGGGCAATCACCAATAATGAACACCAACCAAGTCCAAACGCTGCTTGAACTTATAAACCGGAAGAGACTTCGTAAGCATATCAGCTGGATTGTCCTTCGTATGAATTTTCTGAACAAGGACCTTTCCCTCAGTAATGGTATCCCGAATAAAATGAAACTTCACATCAATGTGTTTCGTCCTCTCATCATACATATGGTCTTTAGTCAAATAAATACCACTTTGAGTAAATTGTAGTAATACCTTGATACATACATAATTCGTCGAACAAACCTCTTAACCATAAAACTTCTTTGATCGCCTTTATCACTATCATATATTTTGCTTTTGTAGTAGATAAAGCCACGATAAGTTATAAGGAAGCTTTCCAATTAACTGCACAACCGCCAACGCAAAAAACATAGCCTGCCAAAGATATTCGTTTATCAAGATCCGCAGCATAATCAAAGTGATGAAACCAACCAAAGTGTCATGATTTTTTCCAAACTCCAAACAAGCATCTGAAGTCCCTTGCAAGTATCTAAGAATCCACTTCACAACCTACCAATGTGTTTTACTCGGGTGAGACATATATCTGCTAACCACACTGATTGCTTGTGAAATATCTGGATGAGTACAAACCATTGCATACATAATACTGCCGATGGCACCGGAATATGGAACTTTCACCATATATTCTTCCTCTTCAACTGACTGTGGTGATTGAGCAGTAGATAGCCAAAAATGGCTAGCAAGAGAAGTACTCACTGGCTTAGCATTTTTCATGTCAAACCTCTCCAAGACTTTCTCGAGGTAATTTTTGTATGTTAGAAATAATTTTTCGACTCCTCGTTCTCTTTTGATCTCCATGCCAAGAATTTTCTTAACTGCTCTCAAATCTTTCAATTCAAATTCACTACTCAGCTGCATTTTCAAAGTATGAATTTCTGATAAATTCTTAGCTGCAATAAGCATGTCATCAACATAAAGCAACAAATACACAAAAGAGCTATCAGTTAACTTCCGGAAGTAGACACAGCTATCATACATGCTCCTCGTGTAACCATGACACAACATAAAAGTATCAAACCTCATATACCACTGTCTTGGAGACAGCTTCAATCCGTACAATGATTTCTTTAACAAGTAAACATGGTCTTCGTTACCGTCAACTTCGAATCCATGAGGTTGCTCCATGTAAATTTGTTCTTCAAGTTCACAATGTAAAAAAGTTATCTTGACATCAAGTTGCTCAAATTCCAAATCATACATGGCAACTAAAGCAAGCAAAACACTAATAGAGCTATGTTTAACAACATGTGAAAATACATCATTAAAATCAACACCATGTACCTGACTATAGCCCTTTACAACTAATCGTGCTTTGTACCTTGCATCTTCAACCTCTGGAATACCTTCCTTCCTTTTGAAGACCCATTTGCATCCAACAATTTTCTTACCTGAAGGCGGCTTCACAAGATCCCAAGTTCTATTCTGATGGAGAGATTCAATTTCTCCATTCATCGCAATCAACCACTTAGTAGAATTATCACAAGAAACTGCATCTGAGTAGGTAGTAGGCTTACCAACTTCACTTATTTCTTCTGCAACAGACAAAGCATATGCAACCAAATTTGCATATCTTTGTGGTGGTCGAATATCTCTCCGTGGTCTATCCTTGCTATGGAATATTGCTCGTCCTCTAGATCATCTTCGTCAGTAGACTCGGGATCATCTACTAGCATTCTTTGAGTAGAAGAGTTCGACTAAAAAGAATCAGAACTACCAATCTCGAGCTTCACTTGCTTCTGCGCACTATCATTTGTATAATTAGTAGATTCCTCTTTGGAAAATAACATAGACAATTCATTAAAAGTAACATCTCTACTTATTATAAATTTTGGGGATTTGATATCAGAACACCATAATCTGTATCCTTTCACCCTAGAAGCATACCCAAGGAAAATGCACTTTTTAGCTCGAGGCTCTAATTTTCCTTCATTTACATGCATGTATGCTAGACACCCAAAAACTTTTAAATCAGATTAATCAGCAAGAGTACCTGACCAAACTTCCTCCGGAGTTTTAAAATTAAGTGCTGCAGAAGGAGCGCGGTTGACAACGTAACATGTCATATTAATCGCCTCTGCCCAAAAGTACATTATCAACACTGCATTTGAGATCATACACCTTGCTCTCTCCAAAAGTGTTCTATTCATACGTTCAGCCACACCATTTTGCTGAGGCATCATCCTAATAGTGCGATGCCAAACAATTCCTTCATTTTTGCAGAATTCATCAAAGTCACCTTCACAAAATTCCATGTCATTATCTGTTCGAAGCCACTTAATTTGTTTACATGTTTGCTTCTCAATCAAAGTCTTCCATTGTTTATAAAGGTTAGAAAAATATTATTTTTATGCTTTAGAAAATAAACCCAAACTTTCCTAGAATAATCGTCAATGAAAGTCAACATATACCTGGCACCACCCTTAAACTGAACATGAGTTGGACCCCAAAGGTCTGAATGAATATAGTCGAGAGTACTTTCGTTTTGTGAACTACTGGAGAATTGAAGCTGACTCTTTTCTGCTTTCCAAAAATATAGTGTTCACAAAAATCCAGTGGCCTAGTACTCTGTCCATAAAGAAGACCCATTTTGCTTAATATGCTCAAATCTTTTTCGCTCATATGACCCAAACGCATATGCCATAATTTGGTGATGTCAGAATCAGACAATGATGATGATGAGATTGTAACCGAGCTTGTGACAGTAGTTCCCTGTAAAATATACAAGCTACCGGACCTACAAGCTTTCATAACAACACGGGCACTTCTAGAAACTTTCATAACTCCACCTTCAGTTGCGTATTTACACCCAAAAGCCTATAGGGTGCCTAAAAAGATGAGATTCTTTTTTAAATCAGGAACATGTCTAACATTAGTGAGCGTCTTCATTATACCATCATGCATTTTAATTCGGATTGTGCCTCTACCAACAATAACACACGCGGCATTATTGCCCATCAAAATAATTACACAATTACAAGATTCATATGTGGAACACAAATCCTTATTGGGACACATGTGATAAGAAAAACCCGAATCTAAAATTCATTCATTTTTAAACCTCATCCTGCTACACTAGCTTCAGCGGGCTTAGTAGTTTTCTCAATAATTTTTCTCTTTTTCTTTAATTTATTTTTTAATTTAAAGCAATTAGCCTTAATGTGCCCTATTTTATGATGTAGATCTACTATTGTTAAATTCCCTTTTATCCGTTCTACCCCTGACAACCAAACCCTCAACCTGATTCCCTCTACTTTCCCTAGTGATATCCCTATCTATCTGCTCCTTAGATTTTAGTGCAAATTTAATTTCCCGATACGAAATTATTTCTTTTCCATAAATCATAGTATAATGGAAATACTTAAAGGTTTGGGGAAGAGTACACAAAAGTAACATGGCCTTATCATCGTCATTAATTTTCGCATTAATATTCTCCAAATCCATAACTAAGGAATCAAATTTATCAAGATGTGAGAGTATAGATGTAACTCCACCATCCTCTTTATATACAATACTTTAAGTTTGTTCCATATGCTCTTAGTCGTAATCTCCGTAGCTACCTCCTGTAAAACCTCGTCAGAGAGATTTAGAATAATGCTGCTCCCTGTAGTGCCAAATCAACTCCGTCTTGAACCAAAATGACCTCCATCTTGAGCTACCACATGCCGAAGTTGACATTTCTGTCGAATTTCTCGATAACGATCTTTGTTATTATCATCATATCCAAAAGATCCCGAAACCAGGCTCTGATACCAATTTGTTAAAGCTAGCCTCAGAAAATTTACCAAATGGGTAATTTGGCAATCCAATAAAGATAATAAAACAGAAAAATAAAAGAGACTAGGACACCATATTCCACGGACGGAGGAGGAGCAAAACTCTATTATAAAAGAGATAATTACATAATAAGTATGGACTTAATAGAAATTAAACCAAAAGCAAACAATTAGGTTTTTCTTGTGACTTCAAAGCCCAGACCCTTATTTATAGTTGCAATAGGAGATAACAAGCTTGATTTTCCCAGTGTGGGACTATGTAAAACTTACCAAACTAACCGTGCATAATGTCACATCATAAAAATGCATGATAAATGAAGCCATCCTTTGTTGAATTAGGCAGAAAGCCTAATCAAAATGTACCGCCAAATTTCTTATTGAGCTCCCAGCAAAGATTGAAATTAGAATAATTAAGTCGACTCACCCGTTTCATGTTATTTTTCACATGGCACCACCTCAACGCCACGTCAAATATATGCTCAACGTGTCGACAACATGACCCATATATTATCGATATATGATCACCACCTTAGCAACTAGCTCTTGTAATTTGGGTTGATTAGAGGACTAATGGTCAAGAGAGCTCACAACTCTCCATATATATATTCTTAGAGATTTTTTTAATATTATTTAAATCATTGATCGAATTTTGTTGGAAACGCCATCGATGATGGGTTCGTTGCTCACGAGGTCAGATAAGTTTGTCAAAGCTGATATTGAGCTCGACGGAGGGGGGAGGGAGAGCTTCTGCTCCACCTTGCGCTTGGGATGCTACGATGGGTTGATCCCCTGCCGCCCAATGTGGGCTCCCCGTGGTTGGGCGGAGACATACTTCCACGGTTCGCGGCGGAGGGATCGATCGCACCACATGGATCGGCAAGCTGAACTCGGCAATCAATAGACTCTGCAATGCTGCACCACATACAACAGCAGCTCTATAACAGGTTCTACAAGCTGAACTCAGCGGTGATTCGGCAACGCTGCAACAACAGCTCTATAACGGGTTCGGCAAGCTAAACTCGGCATTTGGCGGTTCAGCAACAGCAGCGTCTCCATCTTCTCCTTCCTGCCACTTACAAAGGTTCAGCAATGGCAGCTCTACAGCAGCTGAACTCAGAGAGGAGTTCGTCAATGGGGCAAACAATAGTTCAGTGAGGCTACAACGGGAGTTCAACAAGGTAATCGTGCAGATCACAAGCCTTTTGTTTAGGCACAACTTGCAGCGGCAGCAATATAGAGGGCTGCCGTTGCGCCATATCACCCTTTGGTGGGATAGAGTGGTAGCAGGTGTAGCTGGGCGGCAACACAGCGAGCTGCGGTTACCGGGAATGGCTCAGTGAGTTGAAGATGAATGTGGACATGACCAAACCACAATAGCAGATGACCAGTCTTCTGCAAGACAGCTCGTGTAATCGACTCGGCAAGGTATATTGACAGCTTAGCCTACATCTACAGGTAGCGTTCCTGGCCTCGGGTGTGTTCCATGTCTCAGCGAGATAACGCTCGAAGTTAAGTGACATTTGCAGCTCGGAGATCAGCGGTATTAGGGAAGAAGCCAGTGATATCCCAGTTAGCCTAATGTGGTCCTGACCCAGGTGTACATTGAGTGATGAGTCTGAGGTGCAATCCAAACTTTTTGAGACCCGAAGGGGTGAGTCCACTAGCTCTAAGGTGCCCTATAAGAAGATTGAGGTTGAGGGTTTTCCCAATGGGATCCTTTTAATGGTCAAGTTAGCTGGAGATGATGAATAATAAAAATAATATGATTAATTATTTTTATCTTGATCCTTGTGCCTAAGGCTCGGCTCTTCTTGGACTCTTGTGTACATGAGCGATAAAGGAGGCATTCCCAAACCACTTTCCCTTTGACTCATTGCCACCTCCGTAATCTCTCCTTTATCACTTGTCGATCGATAACCTCTCCTTTATCATTTGTCCCCTCCCCCTCTCAAGGTGTACTTCGAAACTCCTATTAGGGGATTCAAAAGTGTATAAATTGTGTTTACCAAATGGCCAAATGTTGAGCTAGAGAGTCGGACATTGTATCGAAAAATTATCATATCATAATTAGATATCGAACTAGAAGATTGATCGATATGCTGGAAGAATGTACAATATACCAAAGGATATGATGATGTGTTGAAGGTTCAAACAAAATGCTAAAAGATCAGATAACATGCCAAAAAAGTAGACAGTATGTCGAAAGCTTCAAAGATGTTCTTGATGAGTGGATGATGAATCGAGGTCTTGATTATGGTTAGTTTGGGTTAGTATTATTTTGAAATAGAGTCCACTTGTCATAAAAGTCGTTCAACTTAAAAGCAACGCTAAATTGAGGTTGTTAGAAGGCCAAACTAATGGCCTAAATTAGGCTTGGGTGATGGTACCACTAGACCTAAGCAGTGGTATCGCTCGAGTCAATCAACTAACACTTTTTAATATTATCAACCTTATTAACGATAGTACTGTCTTTGTCAATAGTAGTACCACCTAGGGCAACAATAGTACTATTCATAATTTAAAATTTATGAAAGAGATCAAACTTGTCGAATTTCTATCTTCTCATCTTAGAAATTTCACCTTCATGTGTGGGTAGCTTATGTCCTATTCTTGGTTCTTTTTTCTCGTGTCTTCAGATCGGTTTAATGAAAGACTTAAATTTTCATCTTGTTGAAACTTGTTGAAGCTCTCCAATAAACTCCTTTTGAAATCGTTAAGGGTTTCTTAAAGTCAGTTCTCAATTTTGGTTACAAAGGCTTCTAATTAGGCTTTCATTGAATTGTCGGTAGTATTAGGAATGAGTCGGCACTAAGAGGGGGGGTGAATTAGTGCAGCGGATAAAAGTCGTTGGTTCAAATTCTTCGTACGATAAAAACTTATTTTGTAAAAATGCTTAAATTGAAAGCGTACGGAAGAGTATAGCAAGTAAGAAAGTTTGCAGTTAAAGTAAATTGTTCAAAAGAAATGCAAACCGAGTTTATAGTGGTTCAATCATCGTGACCTCCATCCACTCCCGATTCCTCTTCCATTGAGGCCACCGACATCCACTAACGGTCTTCCTTCAATAGGCGAAGACCAACCACCTTCTTACAACTCTATTCTCCTTTTGACATGCGCAGGAGAGAACTTTTACAACTCTCTTTTAGACCTAGACATCTTTTCTCCCTTTAGAAGAACTTTCTAAATACTAGGAAGAATGGACTCTACTCTTTAAGAGAGATTACAATTTTTACTCAAGGATTCTTTCTCCTTTTTTAACTCACTTTCTTACCTTGCTAAGCAAGAAAGAGTAGGGTATTTATAAGCCCCAAATAGATTCAAATTTGGAGCCCAAAATTTAAATCTCTGAGATTTTGGGGTACGGGCGATACCACCGCTTGTAGCCTGACACTAAGCTGTACCACTACCCAGTCTAGCGGTACCACCGCCTGACAGCCTCGGAGATTGAGTTTTTCGAGTTTTCTAACTCACAGGCAGTTCTACCGCCTGTTTTAGCAATGCCACCGCCTGACCCAACTTTTGGGTCATTGAATGAGCCTCCTAATTAGCCCAAATCAACCTAATTAATGCTCAATTGGTCCCCAATTGAGTTAGCATTATTACACTAAAAGCTAACTCAATTAGCCCCCTAAACTACTTCAATCTTAGACAAATGATTACAAAGCATGAATCCTTTGACTGACATGTCATTGGTTCATCCGGTGCTTGTCCGATCCTTCGGCGCATCGTCCTCTCCGTCGGCATATTACCCAATCGGCATATTAACTCCTGCAACTTTCGATCTCCTTGGCGCAAAGTCTGATCCTTCAGCCCGGTGCCCGAATTCACGACACGAAGCATTCTAGCGATACGTCGACCGATCCTCCAACCCGACGTCCAATCTTCTGACATGTTCACTCCGGCCCAATGTTCAATTCCTCTTGCTTTAATCAATTTGTCTCTCCTTGATCGAAGCTAGTCCTGCATCACTCAAAACACAGATTAGATCATAAACTCATCAATTGATTTCATCATCAAAATATGAGATTCTACAGGTAGCTATTGTATAAGACTACAAATCTATAATCCCTAGTTCTTATTTTCTGGTCAAGGGCATCAGCATTGCCTTATTCAGTGCAACTTTCAATGACGTCAGTCTGACACAACGTTGAGGACAAGACTAGAAGGCAATGATGGCGGTGTGGTTGGGAGTAGCTTCTCTAAGGGTTGCTATCGAGGCTAGGAGGCTAACGTCAACCTGAGGCAACTATAAAAGGGCTTCCAATTTATGTTTCCAAGATTTTTTTTTTTCAATGCTATTTGAGTTATAGGTGGAATCCTCTAAATAAAAAACTAAAGAACTTCATTAAGAATATTTCGATATAATCCTGTAGAAATCAATCTTTTTAAGGTTGATAGGGTTTGATCTCTTCAAACTCGGATGAGTTTGATATCCTCAAGTTCATACAAGTGCGATGTCAATCAAGATTAAACTATAATAAATACAGAAGGAACATTAATTGGCTCCGAATCGGGCAATAAAATCATGCACTAACAATATTCTCTCTTTTTTCTCGTAAATACATTTATTTTATCTTTTATTACGAAGAAGAAACGTGTATCCAATAATAAAAGAGACTCGGTTATAAGAACACATCCTAGTCGTTGATCACCCAATCGATGGCGCAGAAGGCGGCCTCGAGGAATTGCTCTGACGCAAGCGATCACCTCACTCTCTAGAGAGAGTTATATTTTGTGCCACTCTTTTCACACGTACCCACAAAGCAACCCTTCATCTCGTTAGAGGAACGAGTCGCACCCACTAGGACCCACCAATCACGAGAAAGATGAGTGAGCGAATGCTACATTCACCGCGATCCTGTAAACCACGACGGAGAAAAAAACTGTCGTGGTAGCTGTCACCGTAAGGCGCTGCCCACATCGTCATCTTCTGCTTCACTGCCCCTCGATTTAGAGAGTGAGAGAGCGGAGAGACAAAAAGAGAACGATGAAGGCGGTGGTGCTGCTGGACTTCTGGGCGAGCCCGTTCGGGCAGCGATGCCGCATCGCATTGGCGGAGAAGGGAGTGGAGTACGAGTACAGGGAGGAGAACATCCTGGGGGCCAAGAGCCCGCTGCTGCTCAAGTCGAACCCCGTGTACAAGAAGGTCCCCGTCCTCATCCACGATGGCAAGCCCGTGTGCGAGTCCCTGATCATCGTCCAGTACATCGACGAGGCGTGGCCCGACCACGCGCCGCTGCTTCCCGCCGATCCCTACGCCCGCGCCCAGGCCTGCTTCTGGGCCGACTTCGTCGACATGAAGGTGCGTTCTCCTTACGCCGATGCCTCCCATGTGTTCGACTCTTGTTTTCCTCTTCGGATTACCACTGTGTTTGATAGAATCCACTTCCCGATATATATTTGCATAATCTATTTTTTGATCGATAAACAAATTCTAGATTCTTCTGCTCACTCGTTATTTGATCTGCTCGTCCTGTAAGAACAATTGTGCAGCACCCTTTAACGTTATTCTTCACGTATCAGTTCAATGAATGCGGGTCAAGGCTGTGGAAGCTCAAGGGCGAGGCCCAGGCGGCGGCCAAGGAGGAGTTCATCGGGATCCTGAAGCTGCTGGAGGGCGAGCTGGGGGACAAGAAGTACTTCGGCGGTGACGCCTTCGGATTCGTCGACGTCGCGCTCGCCCCCTTCGTGTCCTGGTTCTACAGCTACGAGACCTGCGCCGGCTTCAGCATCGAAGAGGCGGCGCCCAAGGTGGTGGCCTGGGGCAAAAGGTGCATGGAGCGGGAGAGCGTGGCCAACGCACTGTCCCACCCCGACAAGATCTACGAGATGGTCGGCGTTCTCAAGAAGAAATTTGGAGTCGAGTAGTCTGCAGTAGTAGTAGTAGTAGCAGTGACTGTGTGTTGCATGGTGTTTGCCTTCTTTGTGTCTGATGAGATACACACTTGTTGGTGGTGTATACCACTTGAATAATTGCCCTCTCTGTTATCTTCTCGAATAATACTATATCACTTCTTGGTGGTGTCATGGGGCACCTGCACCATTCTTTCATTAGAGAATAGGAAGAATTCTCTCGCTCTCTCTTAATATATATACACTAACGTGTGCTTCATTAAAAGATTAAAGATCACTTGAGTTCTACCATTAGCTTAACTCTTCCCATCCAAGAGGAGCTCGAGTTACGTGTAAGGAAGTGGAATTGCATTATCCTTAGTTTATCAACAATGGGCCATTTATTTTAGTGTATGATGTCACATCATAAAAATGCATGATGCCCAAGTGTGTCACGCCATTGTCTTTCAGAAGCCCAGCCGCCTTCGAGAAGTCAAGCCATCCTTCGTTCAAAGATGATGAAAGCCTAATCGAAATGTAATGACCAATTTGTTCTTGTCCTCCGAGCAAGGATTGAAATGAGAAGCTGACTCACCTGTTTCATATTCTTTTTCTTTTTTTTTCTCGTAAATAGTTTTTGGTCTTTTACTTCGAAGAAGAAACGTGTATCCAATAACAAAAGACTCGGATATAAGAGCAGATCTTGGTCGTTGATCGCCCAATCGACGGCGCACAAGGCAGCTTCGAGGAATTGCTGTGACGTTTGCGATCACATCACTCTCGACAGAGTTATCTTTTGTGCCACTCTTTTGATCGGTACCCAAAAGCAACCCCTCTTGTCGTTGGAGGAGAGAGTGTCGGCCACTGGGAACCACGAATGGGTGATGGAATGGTACATTCACCACGATCCGGTAAAAAACACGCGCGAAAACAGTCGAGGCAGTAGCGGTGGCCACAACGCCTTCTTCTGCGTCACTGCCCCTCTATTTAATGAGCGAGAGAGCGGAGAGAGGGAGACGGAGAGACACAAAGTGAGAGCGATGAAGGCGGTGGTGCTGCTGGACTTCTGGGCGAGCCCGTTCGGGCAACGGTGCCGGATCGCGCTGGCGGAGAAGGGAGTGGAGTACGAGTACAGGGAGGAGAACATCATGGGGGACAAGAGCCCGCTGCTTCTCGAGTACAACCCCGTGTACAAGAGGATCCCCGTCCTCATCGTCGACGGCAAGCCCTTGTGCGAGTCCCTCATCATCGTCCAGTACATCGACAAGGTGTGGCCCGACTGCGCGCCCCTGCTTCCTGCCGACCCCTACGACCGCGCCCATGCCCGCTTCTGGGCCGACTTCGTCGACAAAAAGGTGAGTCCCATTTTTTTTTGCTCACTGTTTGATCTGCTCGTCCTGTAAGAAGAATTGTGCAGAATCTGTTTGTTCTCAGCACCCTTTAACGTTATTCTTCATGTATCAGTTCCATGAATGCGCGAAAAGGCTGTGGCAGCTCAAGGGCGACGCCCAGGCGGCGGCCAAGGAGGAGTTCATTGAGATCCTGAAGCTGCTGGAGGGCGAGCTGGGGGACAAGAAGTACTTCGGCGGTGACGCCTTCGGCTTCGTCGACATCGCGCTCGTCCCCTTCGTGTGCTGGTTCTACACCTACGAGACCTCCGCCGGCTTCAGCATCGAGGAGGCGGCGCCCAAGGTGGTGTCGTGGGGCAAAAGATGCTTGGAGCGGGAGAGCGTGGCCAACTCACTGTCCGACCCCGACAAGATCTACGAGGCCGTGAACGTCTACAAAAAGAGAATTGGAATCGAGTAGTCTACGTTAGCAGTAGTGACCGTGTTGCATGGTGTTTGCATGCTCTGCGTCTCATGGCGTTGTATTTGCTCTCGCTGTTGTCTTCTTGAATAATCTACCTTTCTTGGTGGTGTTATGTGGCAGATGCAGCATATCTCGTTAGAAACCAGGCACAATTCTCTCTCTCTCTCTCTCTTAACATAGATACGCCAACATGTGCTTCGATGAAAGAGTAATTATTGATTATTTCTGTATTTGAGTACTGGTACTTATCAAATTTACATTGAGATACTCATAATTTAAAAAATAATAATAATAATCTATTTTATTCTAACATTATCATATGTATCGAAGAAAAACATAACATATGTCATATGTTGGATCGATATAAAAATGATTATTTTTTCTGTTTCCAATAATTTTATCAGTAAAACGATAATTTTTAACATTCCACTTGAATTCTACCGGTAGCTTAAGTCTTCCCATCCAAGAGGAGCTTGAGTTACGTGTAAGGAAGTGGACTTCCATTATCCTTAACTCATCTACAATTGGCAATTTATTTTAGTGCATAATGTCACATCATAAAAATGCATGATAAGTGAAGCCATCCTTTGTTGAATTCATTAAACGAAGCAGAAAACCTAATCAAGATGTACCGCCCAATTTCTTATTGAACTCCAAGGATTGAAATTAGAATAATTAAGTCGACTCACCAGTTTCATATTATTTTTCACATGGCACCACCTCAACGTGTCGACAACATGACCCATATATTATCGATATATGATCACCACCTTAGCAACTAGCTCTTGTAATTTGGGTTGATTAGAGGACTAATGGTCAAAGAGAGCTCACAACTCTCCATATATATATTCTTAGAGATTTTTCTAATATTATTTAAATCATTGATCGAATTTTGTTGGAAACGCCATCGATGATGAGTTCGTTGCTCACGAGGTCAGACAAGTTTGTCAAAGCTGATCTTGAGCTCGACGGAGGGGGGAGGGAGAGCTTCTGCTCCACCTTGCGCTTGGGATGCAACGATGGGTTGATCCCCTGCCGCCCAATGTGGGCTCCCCGTGGTTGGGCGGAGACATACTTCCACGGTTCGCGGCGGAGGGATCGATCGCACCACATGGGTCGGCAAGCTGAACTCGGCAATCAATAGACTCTGCAACGCTGCACCACATACAACAGCAGCTCTATAACGGGTTCTACAAGCTGAACTCAGCGGTGATTCGGCAACACTGCAACAACAGCTCTATAACGGGTTCGGCAAGCTAAACTCGGCATTTGGCGGTTCAGCAACAGCAGCGTCTCCTTCCTGCCACTTCCAAAGGTTCAGCAATGGCAGCTCTACAGCAGCTGAACTCAGAGAGGAGTTCGTCGATGGGGCAAACAATAGTTCAGTGAGGCTACAACGGGAGTTCAACAAGGTAATCGTGCAGATCACAAGCCTTTTGTTTAGGCACAACTTGCAGCAGCAGCAATATAGAGGGCTGCCGGTGCGCCATATCACCCTTTGGTGGGATAGAGTGGTAGCAGGTGTAGTTGGGCGGCAACACATCGAGCTACGGTTACAAGCAATGGCTCAGTGAGTTGAAGATGAATGTGGACATGACCAAACCACAATAGCAGATGACCAGTCTTCGGCAAGACAGCTCGTGTAATCGACTCGGCAAGGTATATTGACAGCTTAGCCTACAACTACAGGTAGCGTTCCTGGCCTCGGGTGTGTTCCATGTCTCAGCGAGATGCCGCTCGAAGTTAAGTGACATTTGCAGCTCGGAGATCAGCGGTATTAGGGAAGAAGCCAGTGATATCCCAGTTAGCCTAATGTGTCCTGACCCAGGTGTACAGTGAGTGATGAGTCTGAGGTGCAATCCAAACTTTTTGAGACCCGAAGGGGTGAGTCCACTAGCTCTAAGGTGCCCTATAAGAAGATAGAGGTTGAGGGTTTTCCCAATGGGATCCTTTTAATGGTCAAGTTAGCTAGAGATGATGAATAATAAAAATAATATGATTAATTATTTTTATCTTGATCCTTGGGCCTAAGGCTCGGCTCATGGATTCTTGTGTAAGTGGACGATAAAGGATGGGACATTCCCAAACCACTTTCCCTTGGACTTATGTCCATCCGGTAATCTCTCCTTTATCATTTGTCCCCTCCCCCTCTTACTTCTAAACTCCTATTGGGGGATTCAAAAGTGCATGAATTGTGCCTACCAAATGGTCAAACATTGAGCTAAAGAGTCAGACATTGTATCGAAAAATTATCATGTCGTAATTAGACATCGAACTAGAGAATTGATCGACATGCTAGAAGAATGTACAATATATCAAAGGATATGATGATGTAATTAGACATCGAACTAGAGAATTGATCGACATGCTAGAAGAATGTACAATATATCAAAGGATATGATGATGTGTTGAAGGTTCAGACAAAATGCTGAAAGATCAGATAACATGCCAAAAAAGTAGACATCATGTCAAAAGCTTTGAAGATGTTCTGGATGAGTGGATGATGAATCGAGGTCTTGATTATGGTTAGTTTGGGTTAGTATTATTTTGAAATATAGTCCACTTGTCATCCAAGTCGTTCAACTTAAAGCAACGCTAAATTGAGGTTGTTAGAAGGCCAAACTAATGGCCTAAATTAGGCTTGGGTGATGGTACCACTAGGCCTAAGTAGTGGTATTGCCCGAGTCAATCGACCAACACTTTTTAGTATTATCAACCTTATTAACGATAGTACTGTCTTTGTCAATAGTAGTGCCACCTAGGGCAACAATAATACTATTCATAATTTAAAATTTATGATAGAGATCAAACTTGTCGAATTTCTATCTTCCCATATTAGGAATTTCACCTTCATGTGTGGGTAGCTTATGTCCTATTCTTGGTTCTTTTTTCCTGTGTCTTCGGATCGGTTTAATGGAAGACTTAAATTTTCAACTTGTTGAAACTTGTTGAAGCTCTCCAATAAACTCTTTTTGAAATCGTTAATGGTTTCTTAAAGTTAGTTCTCAATTTTAGTTACCAAGGCTTCTAATTAGGCTTTCATTGAATTGTCGGTAGTGTTAGGCATGAGTCGGCACTAAGAGGGGGGGGTGAATTAGTGCAGCGGATAAAAGTCGTTGGTTCAAATTCTTCATACGATAAAAACCCGTTTTGTAAAGATGCTTAAATTGAAAGCGTACGGAAAAGTATAGCAAGTAAGGAAGTTTTTGTTAAAGTAAATTGCTCAAAAGAAATGCAAACCGAGTTTATAGTGGTTCAATCATCATGACCTTCATCCACTCCTGATTCCTCTTCCGTCGAGGCCACCGACATCCACTAACGGTCTTCCTTCAATAGGCAAAGACCAACCACCTTCTGACAACTTTATTCTCCTTTTGACA